TCAAGGTTGACTCAGCCTTCCATCCTTTCTAAGGTAGGTAAATTGAGGACCCAGTTTGTGGGGGCAATAAGCTGACTTTGTATAAAATATACAAAAGTATGAAGGCTATTGCTTAAGGCATTGTAAGCCGCCCTGAGTCTCTGGAGAAGGGCGGCATATAAATCAAATTAAAAAAAAAAATAGCTGTATGTGTGTGTGTATGCCTTTGAGTCAATCCTGATCCCTACCAATTGCTTGGACTAGTCCCTGTAATTTTCTTGGCAACATTTGCAAAAATTATTTACCTGGGTCTCTTTCCTAGAGCTGAGAGAGAGTTACTGGCACAAGACACCCAGCTGGCTTTTGCCTAAGGTGGAACTAGAACTCGCAATCTCCATGTTTCTAGCTTGCATTCTTAATTACTACATCATTCTGGCTCTCCTCATCAATAGCTTATTTTAACACTATGCAACAGTAGCTGCTTCAAACTGTATACAATCTGCTATTTACCATCCTTTACACAGGACATGACATTGGTGTCCAATTGGGAATATATATACAGAGGTGTCAATTCAGCTGATCTGGCCATGTTCTGTCATCGTCATCCCTGAGCAGCCTTTTCTACTTCCGTTCTGTAGCAGTCTCTCTGTGAGCTAGAGAGAGTTTTAATATCATGAAATGATATTAAAAATACCTGGCGGGTGTTCTTGCTAAGAACATGGCATGGAGGTGTCCAGAACATCGCAGGGAAGTGAATTTGAATTGCATCAAGCTGGTTTACTCTTAGAAATGAAGCAAAAGCAGTTTTGCTTTAAAAAAGGAAAAAAAATCCTACCACACAAAAAAAGAAAGAACATTCTTCCTTCTTTAAAATTGTCAGCATTTGAAGGAGTTGGAAAGAACAATTTAAATCTCAAGGAGACAAGCTCTCCAGAAGCCCTTAAATAGTTTACATTTACTCTGACAGTTTAGGCATTAAGAAAAAGAGTTGTCATAGTGTTAAGTATCTGCAGGCTGCTATATTAATAATAGCTTTTGGCCACTGAAGTTCATGTAGTTTAAGAGAGCTTTACTATGGGCTGAGTTTTATCCAGGTCTTAGGCGTTTAGAATAGCTATGCCTGGGCACCTCTGTGTTATTTTCATTCCTCATTCTTCAGTACAGCTTTTGGTGACAAATGTGACATTTATTGAGAGCTGAAAACTATCAGGAGGATGGTATGATATTCAAGTGCTCACTTTAATGAACAGTCAGAAATAATATTTAATTGGAAACCTGAGCAGAATCTGGCTATTATATTATTTCTTTGACATATTGAAGAATTTAGTATTGCTTGCTTAGTGATGTTATAAACAGAGACACTTTTTTAATGAACCAAATAAAATAAATAGTCTTCAGTCAAATAAACTATACTTTTGATTGTCTGTGTGGCACAGACATTTGCTATCATAAGCTACTCACTGCTCCTGATTCACCAAGACATTTGATATGAAATTATTGTAAAATTATTGGAAGTATTTTCTTGTTTGCATCTGAGAAGGCATTGTTGTTTATATCACAGTATACCATGTTTCCCCAAAAATAAGACCCTGTCTTATATTTTTTTGAACCCTGAAATAAGCGCTTAGCTTTATTGCCATGCGCTCAAAAGCCTGATTGGGCATTTTATCAGGGGATGTCTTATTTTGGGGGAAACAGGGTAGTAATTCATCTCAATGCTGCAATTTAGGAAGATTCTTTTTAGAAACCATGTCCAACATACTCACAATAATATAAGTATGTTATATTATTTGATACTCCTTTGTAGCACTTGCTAGAATGATCGTGTGACCTAACAAATCTGCATAATCATTTAGGAAAAGCAAAGGTTCACCAAAGTAAGGTTTGGATAATAAAATAGGATTTTGAGAAGAACATTCAGTAATATTTACATCTGTGTATTCCATTTTTTTCTTCCACTTCTTAGTCTTCCTCCATGACCAATTTCAATTTTTTAAATGGTTGTGCTAATCATCCATGGTTATTAAGCATGACATAATGTGACCAGAACTTGTAGTTTTACTGCCAGCTTCTCTATTGATTGCTTGTTGGAAGCTGGATGTGAAGCACACAAATTATGATCATGGGATGGTGCAATGCTCAAAAATATCTGCCAGATGAAAAGTGCTGTATCTTGATCACATGTTTTCAGAGACATTCTGATGGTTATAAGTGTAAGGACTATCATAACTTTGAATACTCACTAAATAGAGTATCTCTAAGTTAGGACTACCTGTACTATGTTTCCATAAATATTTTAATATAGTAATTGTACTATTTTCTTCCTTATTTTCTTCTGATTACATAAAGGCGCAGTAACTCAGTAGCTTTATGACACTGGAGATGCAGTGGTGGGTTGTCCCCAGTTCGCATCAGTTCTATAGAACCGGTAGTAAAACCGGTGGGAGGCTCCGCCCACCACCCACGATGTCATCAAAATGCTTCTGCGCTTGTGCAGAAGAGCACGCACAAGTGCAAGCGAAGTGAGCGCACCTGCATGGCCCATTGCAAACCGATCGTAAAGGTAAGTAGAACCCACCCCTGTGGAGATGGTCTTTGCTCCAACGGTTCAAGCCCTAGCACTGCATGGCAGGGTGAGCTCCCATCATTTGCCTCAGCTTCTATCCAACTAGCAGTTTGAAAGCATGTTGTATGTGATGCAAACATGTATATAGGTATAACTTTGGTGGGTAGAGGAGTTGGTGCTCCATGCAGGCAGATTCCTGCCAGTTCTGAACCTTCCTGGTTGCGATGCTTGTTTGCAAGACAGATACAGGAGGGAGGGAGCCTTGGATGACTGCAGGAAGAGCTGCTTGTTTTTCTTTCTGGTGTGAAGCCAGCTTGCCCTCCTGTGGCTCACTGTAGGAAGCACGCAAGCGTGTTCCACAACAGAGCTGAAAAATTGGCAGCCAAACCATTACACTGCATTGGCAGTACTGGCTAATGTAACAACAACAACAACAACAACAATGTAATAGTAACAACAACAATAATAACAGCAGCAGCAACAACAATAACAGATAGTAAGTGCTGCCTATGCAAAGAAGCTGAAGAAACAGTGGACCACCTGGTAAACTGCTGCAAGAAGATCGCACAGACTGACTACAAGCAGCGGCATGACAAAGTAGCAACAATGGTGCATGGAAGATCTGCAAGAAATATCATTTACCCGCAAGCAAGAACTGGTGGGACCATAAAATAGAGAAAGTCATAGAAAATGAAGAAGTTAAATTGCTTTGGGACTTTAGAATTCAAGCAGGATGGGACCACACCTCATGGGTCTCAAACATGGGCTTGCTAACCTTCAATCCAGCATCCTAACCACATGAGCCACCATGCTCTTCTAATAAATATACTAGATATATATATATTACTTCTCAACAAATTGCTGTTGTAACATAGATTCTCTCTCTTTCTCTTTTATGGAGATAAAATAGATATATACTAAATGTGCCCATGAAAGAAGAGAAAGAGAGAGTAAAATAGAGAGAGAGAGAATATCTATATTATGACAGTTCTCCAAGGCTACACACTTATGCCTAATGTCCTGTATAGGTAAAATGACAAACTGATCTTGGCATATCTGATTTTTAGATTGGAACATAGTTCCTTAATGATTGAAAAGTATAATGTTCATTTTCAGCAACAATTAATTCATATATCTATAGCTAGAGCTAGAGCTATATTACATTTTCTTTAATAATTTTTTAACTATTCCATATACTCCACAAATGAAATTGTAACTAACAATATATTTTTAGCTTTTCTCTTATCTGACTTACATTTAAAGTTTTGAACTATGTTTCAAAGAAGCCAAGTTCAAAACCTAGTTTATGAAAATGATTTATTAGTGACTAATTCTTCCGCCTTTGAAATGGGTAGATTTGTTTCTTGTCATCCCTACCATATTTACTTTCCTTTTTTGTTTATCTTCTTTTTAATGTTTTTATTTGTAATCACTCAGAGCCAATGAACTTTAGTATATCAAGTTAATAGATAATAAATACATGTATTCAAATTTGATTTTACTAAAATGAATACAGTATAAAGCATTTTCTATTCCTAACAACAGCTGAAATCATTAAAGATCACTTTTAAAGAACAAAAATATTCTAAACCAAAGCACAATGTATTAGGGGGTGTGTGCACATACATGTGTGTATAGACTAAAATATACATGACAATTATTAATCACCAATCTTTATTTATTATTTTTTAATTATTAATTATTTTTGCTAATAATTTTGACAAGATTTATTTGAGAAATTATTTTATTCTAAATAGTTGTCAAGAACACCTAGTGCCAAATAAAAATTATTGGATCTAACTGTTCCTGGTCATAATAAAAATGGTAGGCAGCACTTAAAAATTTTGTTTGACATGCAGACTACCACTAAAACCTACCACTGTTTCCTTAGAATCATATTTTGTGATTTATTGTGCTACTGAATTTATTAATTCAGAATCCTCAACAAATTGTGGAAATCATATTAATTCTTTCAGCTGGAGTTCAACAACTGAAAGATGAAGGTGTAATCTGCAGTCACTGAAAATTAAACAGTAAATCATAAGCAACATATGCCATATGTTTTAGTTAGAGAGAAAAACCCCTGTTGTCATATAAAATCTTTAAATTTTTTATAAAGTGCTGACTCAAAAATGCGTACATTGTTGTTTGCATCTCTTTAGAAATCAAGGGCTTTTCCTATACTAGCCAATTGCTATAACTTTCACTGAAACAGTTTTCCAAAGTATCAAAAGTAATACTTTAAATCCAAATGAGATTTGTTATGTTAAACAGAAGCGTCCTTGGACAGCAGGTCCAAAAAGCAAGATTGCAGTGGTGCATATAAATAAGGTGCAGGCAGGACTTTGATTACGCAGTTGCAGTCACCACCCTGACATTTTTGACAGACACACCTTCAGGGACCTCAAAGAAAATTACTACCATTTAACCATCTGTAAATATTAGGTTGACTTACGATGTATGCAAGGTACAGTCTTCTGGATTCTTTGGCTCAACATCATCTTTTCCTTGAAAAAAACAAAAGAATAGGAATGTTAACAAATGAGCCAAATTGTAAAGGTCATTATGTTGTGGTATAGTTGTGATACGAAACACAGTTGAAAATGAATAGCTTTTTTTAAAAAAAATCTCCATATATTTAAGTCAGAATAAACATGAATTTTAATAAGCTAAGGATCATGAGTTATGTAACACTGTGGCACTAAGATTATAAAATACATTTCTCTACTTATATTGTACCCAAGAAACTGCTTTATTGCATTTCTTTTAAAATATAGAACATGGAAACAGTGTATTCTCCAAAGAACCAGTTGTTGGACAATAGTTTTGTTTTACTAGATAGTTATCTCTCTGTCCCTTCAGTATTATAGTGAATGGATCAGTATGACTTCCTTCTAAATGCTCCTAAATTGTGAATTACATGAAACTCAAGTTACTAAAAAAGAAAACTGTCAAAGGACAATTCTGCCCTCAAAAGTATTGTTTTCAGGGGGAAATTATGTAAGACAATAGAATATTGTGGCACCTTAACAACAAACTATTATTTTACACTAAGGTCAATCTTAAAATCTTTGAAGGATTAGACATGAAGTTTTCAGGCAAATGTCAAATATGATTTCTCAAAATATTTTTGCAAAAAAGTAGAGTAACAATAGGAAATATTGTTTCACTTGGCCTGATATGACAGTAGAATGTTCTTTAGGTCACTAAATGTGTGGCTTTCTATTATGTAGAACTAGAATAAATAAATCAGAATCATTGCTTTTTTTGCTTTCTTTCTTAAATTGCCTAAATACAATGCATTTTACTCTTCGGTTCATCACATAAAAGACCTCCTTAGCAAAATATTCTAAATGCAATAAGTACAGTAATGTCAAAGTAACCATATTTGGAGAAATGCATGCAATGTGATTGATCAAATCAGGATTGTGCTGAAAGTTTGAAATGTTGTGTGAAGTCATGGATTTGCCCAATTCATATCATGTGAAATCATTTCTCAAAGGTATCATTAAAAGGAATGTAGATGGTGATAAAGTCCAGAAAACGTATATGTAATCAAAAGCTCCAATCTCTCTCAAATGATTTGCAGTTATCCAGGAGACTCATTAAAATAAATGGGATTTTTATCTAATGGGTGTAGATAAAATTTCACTACCAGTATATAAGAATGGTGTGTTCAAATTTTTATCCTGTGTTTCCATTATGTGTATAACAGCCGCATAGACCTCACCTATCCAATATAGACAGCATATAATTTAAAAAAATATTTTTTACAAAATATTTAGGCTTCTTCAGCTGAGGTGTATCCCTGAAAGTTGAAATCTGGTATGACTACAGGTTTTGAAATACCAAGGAAAATGATTATTTGAAACATTTTAATATAAGCTTGCAATTTTTTTTAAAAAAATACAGGGTGCCTCACATGTACATTTCTCTGTAAATGTGTAAGTGCTTCTTACTGTCTATTTGAAATTCAACAAATAAGCAGAAAAATGAAACAGCAAACCAGAGTCTTAAGTGGTTTTCTATAAAATGAACCATCTGTTAATGCAGAAAAAATTCCTGCTTGTCTATTCTTCCCCTAAAGAGGAACGATTATTTCCAGAGCTAGATCCATAGCATTCGTAACTGCAGAGGGTACAGAGAACAGAGTGAATGGTGTAATTTCAGGAGACAGGCAGTTAGGCTTAACCTACTGAAGAAATAATTCTTATATGAGATTTGACTCTTACATTTTTCATTTCTTATGAAATGCCCTGCATTATAAAATTACTGGCTCCTGAAATATTTACCTGGACCCAGTGCTAGCATTTCAGAAAAACCTGGAATCTCAACGCTTATTCTGGGAAATACATGGAGAATATTCATATTTACTACATCTACCTGATTCCTGCCAAAACAGGCAGAAGCAACAAAGTGTCTCTAGATACCTCCCTGGTGCAGACTGTCTACTTAAAAATATTTTTAAAAAAGAACTAAAAGGAAGCAAAACCCATTCTCATATCCATATATCAAGAATAAACAATGCCTTTGGGCACTACAAAGGTCCCAATGGAATGATAGATATCATCCTGGAGGGCTACTTTGCTCTTAGGTAAATTGATGTTTTGCAATTGCTCTGCCCACTGGGAAAAGCCACTTTGTGAATAGAAAGTAATTGTATAAGTGCATTCAACACAAGTCTGCAAAATTTCAAATGAGTACCTAGCTTTAAAAGGTTGTCTACCCATGTTCTGAACCACATTGCATTAAACATTATGAGATGCAGTTTGCATGCTCCCTTTTGTTCCTCTGGTGCCAAGTTCATAAGGAGGTGCTCACAAACAACAAAGTTAGATTGTCATTGTCTTACTAACTAGTATTATTGAAATGGAAAGATGGAATAGGTAGAAGGGAGAGTGAGAAGGCTGAATGACAGACATTTTGGCAACTAGATACATTTACTTTGGCATTCCATTTATCTCTAAGCTTTATTGGGGAAAAAGTTATTTGATCTTCTTGTTAATTGCCTGTTAATGCATAGGGAGATAGCTAGCATCTTTCTAGTAAAGAATAGTATGCAAGTGTTCTAAATATTAGTACTGTACTGTGTTTTGAAAACCAGCATCTTTTTTCTGGGATTCTGTTACGTTGGGATGAAATAAGAATCTCATTCCTTTAAACTAAACGTATTACATCTGAACCAAAAAGTTAGCTACAGATTGTGAAATAATAATGTATATTCTAGCTTCTTTGTATAATTAGTTGTTAAAACCGTAATTGTAATTTAAGGTTCAGATATTGTAACAAGTGTGGTCAAATGAAAACTGAAACAAATGTTTGCAATGTTTTTCACAAACAGTATCAGTTAGAACATGAGACTGTAGAAATCCAAAGGTAGCTTTGGAAGGTTAAAATTAGAATTATGTTTAAATGTAGACCATGTTGTGCTTTTATTTCTTCCCCTAATTTGTTCCAAACTAAAGGAAGTTTTTCTCTTTCTTTATATTATTTGTTTAGGTTTCATCAAAGAAAACTCACATCCCAAAGTAATTCAGTTTGGAGGTTTTGCTCCATTTCTAGCCAACATATATATTGGTACCAGTACCCAACTCTCATGGCATACTGAAATTTTCCACCATGTTTATTTACATGTGAAGAACTGAACAGCCACCTGATACTTGAAGTGCTGCATAAATGAAAGAAATTATCCCAAAATCAAGAATAGGTAATCCATGCTCAAGTTACTTGCTAGATAGCCTTGTGCATAACTTGCTGTGTCAGAAATACCTTTGCACTCACATACAAGGAGGACAATCATTTCAAAAATCATTTCATAAATTCTGGGATCTGAAGTTGATAAGTGAAGCAATTTGGAGACCAGAACCACAATTTAAAAATTGGTAGAGGTTGTGAGCAATAATAGGTTGAGAAGAGAAGGGGGAAAAATACAAAATCTCTCTTGCCATTTCTCAGAATCATGTAGTTTTTTCTTGTTTTGCTTTATCATCACTGGAGATTATTAGCTAGGTAAAAATCTCTTTATATGTAAATCATTCATAAAAAGCACCATTTCCCTACTCAGAGTAACTATGCCCCCCCTTTTTTTGTAAGTTTGTGTTCTTCTTAATAATATCAAATGCTTACTGGCATTTGTACCGCACTGCATTTTCTCAAGTGTTTCTCTTTCCATGATCATTCTTCAGAAATATGCTAACCCACAGTAAAACAAATGGTTCTTAACATGTTTATTTATGCTTAGCTTGCTCAGCAGATAACCCAACCCGAATCACAAAAGAATTCTTTGCAACAAAGAGCCCATATAGTTTTACAATATCTACATGGTCCTAAATTACTGCTGTTTGTATAGATATGTCTATAAGAAAATAAGAAAGACAGAATTTATAAACCTTGTGCATTCATGTCAACACAATGAGTTAAGATTCCAATGTAAGTCAACCCCACAGAATGAAACGTATCTGTTACTTCCCCTCTTGTGCCTCCATAAAACTTCTATAAAAGTCAAAGTTATCCTAAACAATATGAAAAAAAAAGCCATGACTTGGAGTATGAAGAATATACAAATTGGATCTTAGGATGGGATGGGATGGGATGGGATGGGATGGGATGGGATGGAATGGAATGGAATAGAATAGAATAGAATAGAATTTGGCCTTGGTGGCGCAGCAGACTAATGCACTGTTAAGTAACACCAGCTGCCTGCAATTACTGCAAGTTCAAATCTCACCAGGCTCAAGGTTGACTCAGCCTTCCATCCTTTCGAGGTAGGTAAAATGAGGACCCAGTTTGTGGGGGCAATAAGCTGACTTTGTATAAAAAAGAACACCGCTTTTGGGGGGGGGGGCGAAAGCCCTACTAGCAGGTATATACAAAAGTATGAAGGCTATTGCTTAAAGCATTGTAAGCCGCCCGAGTCTCCGGAAAAGGGCGGCATATAAATCGAACCAATAAATAAATAAATAATAAATACATTCTTTATTGGCCAAGTGTGATTGGACACACAAGGATAGTTCAAATACAATAATCCTTCTATATTCCTATTCTCCAGAAGATCCATGATCATCTGGACAAACTGCATGTGGGAGAGCATTAAGTACTTCAAGAGCAGAGAGGAAAGCTTCAGTAAACTTGCTCAAATTAATTTATCTTAGGATCCAGTTCTCTATGTTAAGAAGCTACATTGATTAAATTAAAATATATATAATATTATTAACATCTTTTATTACCATAACGGTGAATGTCAGAATAGCAAGGCAGATTAGACTAAGAAACTAATACCATAAGGGTCAGAATTATTTTTTGATGTAATTGCTATAGTAATAGAATTTTGCAAGTCTGAGTGTGTTTCCTCTCCTTATCTTCATATTCATGTAAACCAGGAAGGGGCTTGTTATTTTCTAAGCCTAGTGTAAGCCTCTCTTATCTGACTACTGCCTTAGTACCTGTTCTCCCTCTTGTCCTTCAAGGCCATTCCCTATGCCCCCTAGAGTGAAGCATAGCAGAAATTTTGGAGATATCATTGCAGGAGAATAGAAGATATAGTGAATATAGAGAACGTATTGTCATTGTTTCAGAAAATAATCTACAAATATCTCCTAAAAGCCAGAGTATTTATCTCAAGATGAAGGTACATTTATCTTAATTTAATTTTTGGAGACCAGAACCACAATTTAAAAGTTAGTACCATGTTTCCCCAAAAATAAGACCCTGTCTTATATTTTTTTGAACCCTGAAATAAGCGCTTGGCCTTATTGCCATGTGCTCAAAGCTCAATTGGGCTTATTATCAGGGGAATGTCTTATTTTGGGGGAAACAGGGTAGAAGTTGGATCCAAAGGATTTCCAGTTAAAAAACAGTAATGGACACGTTCAAAATATGTCTAACACTATTTTTTTTCCTTGCCAATTTATCTTATGATATATTCAACCTATCATGATTGCCATCAAATGCAACTATGAAGTGAAAATTATTCTTACTTTGATTGCTGTGTCCTGTAGAGACATGCTGGGGCTCCTAAAGAACAAAAACATGGAATTGATAATTAAACACATGGAATGGTACAGTGACAATAGTTTATCTTAACAATATTAAAGTTTGACACACATGATAGAAAAGTAATTTTACTGTACAGAGTATTTGGACCACTCTTTTTAAACTCTAGCAACAAGAGACTATGTGCATCCCTTTCAATATTCTCAGGCAGAATGTCATCCATACTAGAAACACATCAGGGTTTTCCTCCTCTGATTAATTGCTGAAGACAACTGGCATATGGGAAAGGTCCTCATCTAGGAAGAAAACTCCAAGAATCACTTCCAAAACAATCAAACACTCCAGCTGTCTCTTTATTGTTTCTGCAAATGATAATATGCAGAGTACCGTACATTGTATTTTCCCACAAATATGTAAGAGTGTACTAGGTCATACAAATAGTAATTACAACCATGGTGGGTTGTTATATGCCAGAGGAAATTGTTCTAACTGAGCACCATCTGTACAAAAAACCCAGTTCTCTTATTTACGTGGCAGAATTATGGGAATGCTAAATTAGTCACAATTGTACAGGCAAGTGACTTCTGAATAGACAATAGCATTCAGCTTGGATCACAGTAGTTTTAGCTGAGAACCGAGCAACTCACATAAACTCTGCAGGCTATTTTGTAACTTAATACATAAAGCTGTTAGTGAGTTCACATATTTTGGGAAATGTTTGGGGCACCATGAACCAAGAAAGTTTGGAAAGTCTTATGCTACTCTTTGCAAATTTATGCCTTTGTAAATGATCAATAGTCTGATGTACAATGTAATCTCCGCAATAGAAAATATTGAATTTATTCCTTCCTTATTCATTTCTTGGATTAACCTCTTAGGACGGTGATGGCTAAGCTTTTCCAGGCCGAATGCCCAAAGAGTGTGCGCGCAAATGCGCACTCAAACCAAACCCCCAAAATGCAATGTATGTGTGGCCCCTGTGCATGCACCCTGCCCCCGTGCATGCATGCATGCCCCCCTGCACGCCCCATTTCTCCTGTGAATGTGCGGCCGAGCCCCAAAGACCAGCTGGTCAGTGGGAGACGCATGCACATGTGTGGCGGAGCTGAGCTGGGGCGACGGCTTGCATGCCCACAGAGAGGGTGATGCGTGCCACCTCTGGAACGCATGCCATAGGTTCACCATCATATTCCTAGGAGAACTTTTAAAACAAGTATGTCATTATCAATTGATACAGAAGCCACATTACTTAAAATGCATTAAATGACAGACCACACACATACACATGCAAAACTGAAATGCAGCAGTTATCAAAATTATACTAAATGAAATTAATATTTAAAATTATTATTTTAATTTCTTATAATTAAAATTAAACTAAAACTGATGACTAATAAAAGTAAAATATATTCCTAATGTAAATGTGTAATATTGTATCACCATAATTGCAGTCTCTCAGTTGTCATCTCACATCATACCACAGGCAACAATTTTGGGAACCCTCTTGGAACCAATTGTCATGGATAAATAGTAGTGTCAGCAATAGTAGTGTTAGTAGAGGAGCATTAATGTTCCTCTATATTCCTACATGGTGATCACATGTTAGTGCAGCACCTGTACATGAGACAAGGCAAGGCAGAGAACAAAGGCTGACAGAACTATCCTAGCAGGATTTGGGGTCCAGCAGCATGGTTTTAGAGCCATTGCCAGTTGCATATCAGCACACCAGCAACAACGGCTCAAGTATACCATGTTTCCCCAAAAACACGACCTACTCAGAAAGTAAATCCTAGCTTGATTTTTACACATGCGCCCAATATAAGCCCTATCCTTAAAATAAGCCCTAATTAAGACCCCGCCCACTCCAGGGTACACAGGTAAAAATTAAGCTAGGGTGGGAATGGGGGGGTTGGAGCTGCCCTACTACTTAGCTTCAGACAGTTGCAGCCAGGCCTCGCACACCTTGGCCCATTTCTTCTGCAGCTGGCAAGGCTTTCCTGAAGGTCTCTGTAGCTGATAACAGATAGATCAGGAACCCTGTTATCAGCTGCAGAGGCCTTCAGGAAAGTCTTCCTGGACGAAGAAGTTCCTGAAGGCCTCTGATAGCAAAAAAGAGGCTGGGGGCAACACATGCAAATGAGGTGAGTCAGTCAGGATGACAACCCCCCCCTGAAAATAAGACCTGATGCTTTTTTTGGCGGCAAAAAAAGATAAGACAGAGTCTTATTTTCAGGGAAACACGGGTAGCACTGCCAGAATCTGTTCTATCCAGAGCAGGCATAGCATGCAAATCCTGATACTCTATGATGAGAAATTATGCCATACTGGATACTGTTTTGATGTTTTTATGAGACATCTTCATCATCTTGGCAGTCATTGTGCTAAGTCTTCAAAGTATGTCAGCTCAAATTTGTTTTTAATAATTCAATGCAATAATGGAACTTTTAAAGATGTACAAAGAAACTTGTAATATTTTGTATTTGCAAATGCCTGTTCATTCTGAAAATGCATTATTGTATATTATTTATGGTTTCCTGATCTTCAGTGTCTGCCTTCAATATGTGGAAATGGCATTTTAGCTAAATATAAACACTATGAAATATCATTTTCAAAAGCCATTTTTTGTTCCACTGAAATAATTCAAACAAAGCAAACTTCAACAATAAAGCTAATTAACATAAATATGTGCAGTTTTAACAGTAAATAAGGATTAACAACTTTCTAAATGGCATATAACCAAAATTATGAGCAATTTCAAGTAAACCTGTCATTTTTGGTTGGCTGAGTAACAGAATGAAGGTGATAAATTAAAATCAACTTCCTCTTCCCTCCAAGCAAGATACATTTAACTTGTTTAGAGTTATGATCAGTGAATCTGAAAAAAGCAGTAAGAATTCTGTTTTGAATCTATCACAGTTAGTCATTGTTTACCCTAGTTTACATTTCACAGATAGGAAAATAAGGCTGAGGTATGGTGACTTACTGAGGCCACCTATTCAGTCTACATGCAAGGAGACATTTGAATCCCTTAAAAAAATGTCAGTTTTCCAAAAATACACAATAGTTTGAGGGGTTTTCTTGCAAGTGAACTCTGGATGTTATTGAGTTGGCAATCACTGAAACATTACTAGCTTTTTCAACTTCTGGTCATTTCAATATGGGTTAGCAGTAGCCCCATCTGTTTAGATGCTTTTCACAGACTGGCATCTAGTAAAACTTCAGCAATGTAATGTAATGCCTTACATGTAATTCTGTACTAAATTCTATGGCATTTAAACCAATTTAAGTGTTTCTATGGTTTTTTATTACCAATTATATTACTTTATGCTCAGTACAATTGTTAGGAGTCCTTTCCCATATATAGTAGTTAGTGCACTCTTGTACTCATTTTATGATTTCTGTTTTATCTGTATCAGTCTTAACTACAGATCTTTATCTAGATGTTTAAATACCTAGATCTCCCTCTAGAAGAACAGGGATTGAAATATGTTACAGGTATATATGGCTTTCAAATTTTCTCATCCAACAGAATTTACTAAGATGTATTACTTGCATGGGAGACAGTAAACTAGGTTCGTATTTAGTAATTCATTGTTCATTTCTTATATAAGAAATCATGCCCTTGAAGTGATGTCCCGGTGCTTGGAGGCTGTACGGGTCTGGATGGGACAAACAGACTTAGACTCAACCCCGACAAGACCGAGTGACTGTGGTTACCGGCACCCCATTTTGTCCACTATGTTCCATCGCTATCCCTAGGGGGGGAGGTGTTGACCCCCTCAGAGAAGGTACGCAATTTGGGAGTCCTCCTAGACCCACGGCTTAGCTTGGAAGATCATTTGACTGCCGTAGCCAGGGGGACCTTTGTCCAGGTGCACCTGGTTCGCCAATTGCGCCCCTTTCTGGACCGAGATGCCTTACTCACAGTTGCTCATGCCCTCATCACCTCTTGTTTGGACTACTGCAATGCACTTTACATGGGGCTGCCCTTGAGGAGCACTCAGAGACTTCAACTGGTGCAGAATGCAGCCGCGCGGGTTGTCATGGGGGTACCTCGGTACTCCCATGTCACACCACTCCTTCGCGGTCTGCATTGACTCCCGGTTGTCTTCCGAGTGCAATTCAAGGTGCTGGTGATCACCTTTAAAGCCTACATGGCCTAGGACTAGAGTACTTGCAAGACCACCTCCTGCCACCGGTAGCCTTCCATCGCCTGGTTTGCTCCAACAGATTTGGCCTCCTCAGGGTACGTTCGGCTACACAATGTCGACTGGTGACCCTAGGGGGAGAGCCTTCTCTGTGGGAGTTCCTACCCTCTGGAATACGTTACCCCTGGAGCTCCGGATAATCCCCGACCTCCGAACCTTCTGCCGGGCCTTGAAGACCTGGCTCTTCCAATGGGCGGGCCTGGGTTGACTCTAAACTGATTTTGTAGCTTTTTAAATTCTTAAATCTTAAATTTGAATTTGTATTCCCACATTTAACCTTATTTATTGGATATTCTGCTTTAATTTGTCTTTTAACTTTTGTATTTTCTGTTTCTTATTGTTGTGAGCTGCCCTAAGTCCTTTGGGAGAAGGGTGGCATACAAATCCAATAAATAAATAAATATAAAAATAATTACATATCATTTTTAAAATGGCTTTATTTTAAGTAAAAAACAATCCGGGAAGTACTTATATTTAAAATTTCTAAGAGAAATTCAAAAAAATTAAGGAGCTATTTTTCCCAAAGATGGAATTTTTTTTCTCATTTCCTTCTAATCTCAGTTGTTCAAAATCACCTGTACAACTTCATCCACTTTATATTTTCCTGTTGCTCACTTCATTATTAAATGTAATTTCCAGCCACCAAAAAAGTATCCATTCTTGCATAAAAGTGCATATTGTCTTCTGGCTGAGAATACATTCTGAAGATCAGGCAAGGAATTCCGGCTGGCAGGGTTGGGGTGAGAAGAGCCTTCTCTGCTTTGGCCCCGGCCCTTTGGAACATCTTATCCCCTGAGGTAAGATTGGGTCCCA